CGGATAAATGTTCGGCGGGCCGCATGTGGCCCGTGGGCCGTAGTTTGAGGACCCCTGCCATAGGCAGTCCGACATCCCCCGAGGGTCCTAGATTGGAGAGGGTTCAGGCTGGGCTGAGGAACACCCCCCTCACACCCCGCCCCGCCCCGCTGCCCCTGTGCACGAATTTTGTGCACCGGGCCACTAATACTGTATAAATCTGTTTTTACTTTCCTACCATGGCTAGGCACTCAACCTATCAATCTTGGTTCATTTCCTCTCCCATTCCAGCTCAGTGACTATTTCAATTCATAAATGTTGTCAAGCTCTTCACAGCTCCTTACCCTCAGCAAGCAATCTTGATTTCTTTATGAATGAGTAAACTGAGACTAAGTGGCATGACTCTTTCAATTTCCTCCTTGATACCAACTCATCCGTAGTCATACCATAGTCATACCTTCTTAAAGAAAATGAAAACCTTATCGTCTTATATAAAATGAGTTTATTCCTTGTTCAAGACCAACCTATTTACCTATCCCTGTTGGTATTCCCTTTCTACCTCTTTTGGGGTCCTTCTCAACAAAAATATCACTACCATAATCTCTCATGATTAATATGTAGCCAACATCCTATCACCTAATTTCTACTTTCATTTCATATTCAAACTATATATACCACATAATGAAACACTTTTCATCCCCCTGTAATCTGCGTTCTACCATCCAAAACTCCTGTGAAATTGCTAGAAGGGTATCCAGGACTTCATTATTGCAAAATTCAATGGACATTTTCCTTTTTCTAGGCCTAATTAATCCTGGATGCTCTCTATTCCTCTGGCTTCTGAGATAAATTCTTCTGCTTCTTTGCACACCTTCCTAATCACTCTTTTCTCATTCTACTTGTGGGCTCCTCTTTCTCTGTCTGCCACTTAAATGTTTAATGTTCTCCAAGGTTATTTTCCTAGATTACTGCACCCATTCTGAAATTTAAATTACTACCAGTTTGTTAATGATACTCAACATATGTAGCCTAGACATTCTGATTTGCATGTTCAGACAGCTCTCTTTCAATGACGCAGCTCAAGTTTAGGACGTCTAAAAATAAATTTACTGTCTTACTACCAAACAGGTAACAATAAATGGTACAGCTATTTATCCAGTTACCAAAATACAGGTCTTGGTTTTATGTCTATCTTTTACCAGAAAATTTAAGAAAGTCTGAAGTGCTTTTTATAAATTGATAAACTTTTATAAAGAGTAAATCCAGCACCTACCTTAAACTTTATTTTTAGCTTTGGTGTTTCTGTAGAGACCTCTACTTTTTGTTCTTCCTGTTCCCCATCAGAATCACTATGTGAATTTGATGATTTGGATTCTTCCAGGGTGCCAAGTGACTTTTCATTGACTTTACTAGAAAGCAGATCGCCAGAGTGTGGAATAAAATCATCAGGTTTTTCCCATCTGGATTCTATCCAACACATTAAAGTAGTCATGTTATTTGGTTACCAATTCAATTCAGAAGTAATTCTCAATATAATGCTTCCCGTCACTTATATTGTTAAATGACAACTCTGCATCTATTTTATACCATCACCGGTCAAGAAAATAATAAATAAGAATTCTGTTAGCTCTTGCTCTTGTATCTTTCAGAAATTTATTTCAAACAACCTTGATTCATTAGGTGTATCAATTACAGCCCTGATGGAAAGAGGCCTAAGAACTAGAAAATACTTTCTAAGGATTTCCACAATTTAACTGACACTGATTTCAGGAAATGTATGTAATAATGAGCACACATCAGATTTCCTGGAACTTATTTACCACAAAGATTTCCTAGGATCTTTACAAAGAGAAATCATACTGTAAAAATCTAAATGAATATAATTTGTCATTTTTCTAGTAGGGAAAAAACCTTGATTGAACTCTACTGCCACCTAGTGGCCTATTGGGCTTTTAGTAAAATGATAGCATTTCTAATTATCTTGCAGTCAATCTATATTTTTAGTTTAATAAAAGGGAGAGGGATCCTAAAATTTATTGTCCAGTTGGGAGAGATTTAAGACTGGAAAGGGCTCTATTAATAATCACACTGGTCTAGACATAAACTAAAACTTTTGAGGACAAATCAATATGTACAATCCCTTTTTAATATAGGATACTTTCAAGCACTAATAAAAACATTACTGCCCGGCTGGTGTGGCTCAGTGGTTGAGTCTCGATCTATGAACCAGGAGGTCACGGTTTGATTCCCGGTCAGGGCATATGCCCAGGTTGCAGGCTCCATTCCCAGTGTGGGGCATGCAGGAGGCAGCCAATCGATGTTTCTCTCTCTTTCTCCCCTCCCTTTCTCTCTGAAATCAATAAAAACATTTTTTTAAAAATTACTTTTTTTTGGTCTCTATTTTACATAAATAACGAAAGAATCTTCAGGAAATAAATAATAAATAATTTGTATATATATAATAGATATCAGGCACTGTTCTGGGAATTTTATAGACACCTGACTCTCATGACCCCACAGAATAAGTGATGGTCTCTATTTTACTTAAGAGGACCTATAGGCTCAATGACTTGCCCACAATCATATACCTGGTAAGGAAAGAAGTTGTGTGTTAAATTCAGCTCTTACTCTAGAGTTACATTATATATTCCTTAATCTCTATAAAGATTCAGTATCTCAACTTAACTGAGATAGAACCATTGCTATCATTGGGCAGGCTAGGTATCCATTTAAAGGTTAAAAGACCTTTTCTTTTCCTCCTACAAGATTTAATGCTATGCAGAAGGCTTTGGTTAGTATGAATTAAACAAAACACAAACTTGTCAAAGTTACACTGATATTATAGCTATTTTGATATTAACTGCAGAGAAATCAAGTACCATTACTTGAAAGGCAGTTTTATGAAATTAAATTTTTAATTTTAAAAATGTAATAATTAGTTAATAATTAGGCATGTTTTGTAAATACTTATATAACTGGAACATTATTAAACTGATAAAAGTGAAAATTTGACAACCTCAGCCACTGCAAAAACACCATCAGTTTTGTTTTTTGAAAAAGGAAAAGGCAAATTGATCTTTAAGGTACTTTCCAAGGTAATGATTATATTTCTAAAATAATCATAATAAAAATCAGTAATGGTAGAGAAAGTAAAAATGACTCAATTTTTAAAATTTATGAATGCAGTATCAATTGAGAATTACATAGCATAGTGCAGTATATTATATATAGAAATCCTTTTGTTTTTCCATGAGAATTAATGTGTTTTTCTAAATTACAAAAAATAATACATTTTATAAAAATATGCTTATCACTGTATGTACTAAAATTCCCTAGTTTAGATGATTCATTAGCAGGCTAAGAAGCAGTTTCAGGTATAATTTTAGATTCTTAAGATGATCAAAGGTAATACTTACCTCCTGTTTCTGTATTATAATAATAGGTGTAACCATCTTCACTTAAACCTTCTACCCAAACAGCCTTCCCTGCTGTCTAATGAGACGAAAAAAACAGCATAGATGGAAAACAATGTAGTTATATATTAGATAACTAAGGCAGAATTAGCCACCCTCTCCTTTTCTCTCGAAACCTGGGAGTTAGCGGCGGTGGTACAGATCATGGCCAGAAAGCTTGGTTTATGCTCACCTCTGAAAGCTAGGAACAATTTTTCACAGATGGACAGGGGACATGTGAACGGCAACTAGTAATATTTACCCTGTATGGAGTTTTTGAAAAGATATCACTTTTAACCTCTACCCAGCCTACTAATGAAAAGATTATAGAAGAAAAGGAACAAAGAGTTTGGGGGAGGAGGGGCTTATTTGAAAGTAAATTTGCTTAATAAAACTCTACCAAAACCCCAGAAGCCAATCACTTTAAAGAATAAATCAAAGACACTATTAATGTACTTCAGTTACCTTTTTTAAGTTTCCTTGAAATCCTTCAGGTTTCTCCCATTGAGATGCTTAAAACAAAAATACATTGCATTTATAAAATCCTTTTGCTTTAAAAAAAAGTTTCCAAAAAATTCACTTTGGCAAAAATTTACATGCTATTCAATGTGTACAAAACACTAAGGTCTACAGATAAAAACATAATTGAAAAATAGAAAGAACCAACATGCATCCAGTAGCATTGTGCAGAACAATACATGTAAATGCTACATGACCAAGGAAGGACAGAATCATTACAAGTTACTGGTACTTCCACAGGAATTATTAGAGCCAGGTAGGGCTTCTCTTAAAAACTTCATGAATTTCAGGCTTGAAAAATCTGGAAGGAATGACATGGCCTTTTGACATCTTTGGAGGGGTGAGTGAGATATAGAACAAATGACTCAAAAGAGGAACAAGACGAAGTATGCAGGAATTAAAAACAAGTATGCTGAGAAAGAGTATATAAAGAAGGATGGTGAAAAAAGGAAGCAAGCAATAGGCACTAGAAGGGAGAAAAGACATAATAGTTTCTATATAAATTTGAAAGACGTATAATCCTTAGCATATAATAATCTATGATTCACTGCTAAACTACAACGTGCACTTCACTTACGGCTCAGTGCAAACTGAGTCATTATTACTATTTCTATGTAGTTTGAAACTGATCATGGTTCTAAAGATCATAATACTACTACTACTTATAGCCCAAGGTTTTCTTCATGATTAATTTTCTGATCTCATTTCCTGCCTTCTATTCTTAACTTTTTTTCCCCTGGCTTTCTTCTATCCATCCCTTTAATATATGTACTACCCACCATGTTACCTTTTGTTCTCTTTTTTTTTCTTGTGATCTCACATACTCCTAAAAGTTAATGTATTATCTACACTCCCAAACTCCCAACTCTAATTATGAATTAGAGTTGGGAGTTAGGAAAATTGCCACATGAATATTCTATAGATACCTCAACCTCAACATATCCAAATATGAATTAACCATCCCACTTAAACTTATGTATGTTTCCATATTTCATATCTTAGTAAAGGGAACCATCATTTTCTGAGTCCTCTATGATATGGCCCAAATCTATTTTTCCAGGCTCTTCTACCATGTCATCTTCAAAGAACCTTATGCTTTACCTCTACCAGATAACTATTTCCCAAACTTTCAAGCCTTCTTTATTTTAAAAATCCTCACCCAAAGGTTTTTTTAAATTGAATTTTTAAAGGAGGGAGAAAGAGGAGGAGGGAGAGAAAGAAACATCAATTGGTTGCCTCCTGTACACCCCTGACCAGGGATCGGACTGGAAACTTAGGTATGTGCCCTAAATGGAAGTTGAACCTGCAATCACGTTTGATTGCAAGGGACAATGCTCCAATCAACTGAGCCACCCGGTAGGGGCTCAAACCTTTATAGAGTCACTAGAGGCCCAATGCATGAAATTCATGCAAGAGGAGGCCTTCGCAGCCCCAGCTTTGTCCGTAAGGTCATTCCACTGTTCGGCCGTTTGGTCAATTTGCATGTTACGCTTTTATTATTATAGATATTGTTCTATCTATGTGGAATACCTGCTGTACCCTCATAATAAGCTACTGCAATCTTTTTCAATCAAAATACCAATAGAGTCCTAACTGGTTTGGCTCAGTGGATAGAGCGTCGGCTTGTGGACTGAATGGTCCCAGGTTCGATTCCGGTCAAGGGCATGTACCTTGGTTGTGGGCACATCCCCAATAGGGGGTGTGCTGGAGGCAGCTGATCGATATGTCTCTCATCGATGTTTCTAACTCTCTATTCCTCTCCCTTCCTCTCTGTAAAAAAATTCAATAAATATATTAAAAGCAAATACCAATGGAGTATCTGTACAATGCCAGGCACACTGCGTTAAGTGCTAGGAATACAAATGGTATGATGACATCATTCCTGACATCCTCATTTTAACTTGTAGATCAGCTCATAAGTAATTTCAGTGGTAATCTCTCAGATCCACATAATCACAATTAATTCCTATTTTGGCTCCCATATAATCTTAATTACATCTCTCTTACATTATAGCTCTTTAAAATTCTTCCTTGTATCTCACTTAATTGTTTATTTCTGGTACTAAATTTTATGGTTTTGAAGAGTAAATGTATAACAAATTCATTTATTTATGCCAGAATTTACATGGAATAAAAATACCAAATATATTTCATTTTAAAGAAAAAATAAAAAAATGTTTTTGATAGTTTTATTAAGAAACTAGAGGCCCAGTGCACGAATTCATGCATGGGTGGGGTCCCTCTGGGTGGCCTGCAGGGATTGGGCAGAAACCCGCATTCCAACGCCGCCTACGGCTCCTACCTGCCACTCCCACTCACCCCGGCCCCACTGTGCCTGCCTCAGGCTCACACCCAATTAGTCCCATGAGCCCTGTGTCTGGCACCCTCCCAAGGGGAGTGGCCTGTGAGATAGGGCCAGGGAGGGACCACGGGAGGGCTCCAGGGCGTGTCCGGCTCATCTCGCTCAGTCCTGATCAGCCGGACCCCAGATGCTCCTACCGGTTGGAGCATCTGCCCCCTGGTAGTCAGTGCACGTCATAGCAACTGGTCTACCAGTTGACTGTCTGCCCCCTGGTGGTCAGTGCACATCACAGTGAGCTGTTAAACAGCCTTAGCATATCATTAGCATATTAAGTTTGATTGGTTGTTCAGTTGTTCTGCTTTTCGGTCTATTGGCATATTACCCTTTTATTATATAGGATACCATTGTGCATTTTATTAGAAATTGATATCCAAAACATTCACGGGGAGGGGTAATTTACTAAGTCAATCAAGACAGCTACACAAAAAAGAAATCAGTTTCTGGTTCTCAGTATGCTCTTGGATAGAAAATCTCCTCCACAGAATAAAACTCCTGCAATTTGTGAAGTGGATCTGAAATACCTTTATTCCACATAAAATGCTTTATTTACATGTAGCTCATTGTTTTAGAAGGTTCTATTGAAAAAATATAAAGCTTTAGTTTGTTTGTAAGGAACCCAATATTAAGGCTTTAACTAACTAAGATACTGAGTCACTCTGAGAAGGGTACCTTTTTAAAGGGCACATAATTTTTTTACTATTTAGTGGCAAAAATGTATAGTTATAGTATTTCACTGTTTAAATATTCCAATATTAACTAGATGTCTAAAGACAAAATAAACTGTCAATTATAATTCTCCGCAGCTCTATGAACACGTGACTTACCTCCAGTGATAAGATCATAATAGTAATGGTAACCTTCAGAGGTTATGCCTTCTACCCATCTGCCCTTTGAAGGGTCTTTTTTCTTTTTCTTCTTTTCTTTCTGCTGATTTGATGCAGAGATGGGTGGGACAGTGCTGGTTTTTGGTGATATGCTTGGCTCTGAAATTTCTAGAGGAAAGATGAGAGAAGGGTGAAGTAGACAATAAAACCCCCCCACCCCCGATAAAACATAAATAATATTAAAATAAAAAACCTGCTAAGATTCTTTTGGGAACTTGACACATCATTATAAAGCTTATATGGAAAACTAAACATGCACCAATATCCAGGGGAATTACAAAATAGAAGTGAAACAGGAATCTAGTACTATCAGGTATTAAAATTTATTCTAAAACTATGGTAAAAAAGACAGTATACAACTGATCCAGGAATAGGGAAATAAATGACTGAAACAGAACAGTACAGAAATAGATCCAATTGCAGATTCCTGGTGTTTCCTATTATAGGGGAAGAGAGATCATTTAATAAATGATGTTGGACTGACTGGCTAATTATTTGGAAAAAAGTTAAGCTGTTCACCTCTCCTAAGTATCTCTCATGTTTTTATATCAATATTAATTTCATATGAAAGATATTAAAAACAAAACAAAAACAAAAACAAAAAACCCTGCCCTAGCTGGTTTGGCATAGTGGATAGAGCATAGCCTGCGGACTGAAGGGTCCCAGGTTTGATTCCAGTCAAGGGCACATGCCCGTGTTGTGGGCTCGATCCCCAGCAGGGGGCGTGCAGGAGGCAGCCAATCAATGATTCTCTCTCATCATTGATGTTTCTTTCTCTCTCTCTCCCTTCCTCTCTGAAATCAATAAAAATATATTTTAAAAACCCCCACAAAGTAAAATAATGTTAAATTTAACTACATACAAATTAGAATTATTGCATATGGCAAAAAACCCCCCACACATATACACAGAAAAAAATGACAAATATTTATAACAAATATGACAGAGGATTAATGTTCCTAACCAAAATCCCTTACAAATCCAATACTGTAACAGAAAAATGGGCAAAAAGTACAGAGGTAATTCAGAAAATTAACATTTACCTTCACTAATATTCAAAGAAATGTAATTTTTTTGGTATTAGATCAATAAGTACTGAAAAGAATGACTGAATCCAGTGTTGGTCTGTCTAATCTATGGGTATGAAAAAACAGGCAGTTTTTATGGTTTTACTTTTTTCTAAAGATTAGCCAGTCATTCCCAACATCAATTAATAAATTAACTTTATTTCTAGCAAAAGTATTAATCTTGGAGACATTGCTGGAGTATTAACTATCAATCTACAAAATATATTCAGACTTGGTTTTGGCAATCTTACTTCTAGAAAGTAAACTTATAGGGATAAATGCAAAAACACTCACACATAAGGATGCTCACTGAAACATTCTAACAATGAAAAACTCTAAGCAACCTAAATGTCAACCAGGAAGAAATGAAATAAATGTTGGCATTTTTATGGCATTTTATACCCTTTATTAAACATTGTTACAAGTGTCACGCTTGTAATAAGCAATTTATACGATTATATTACTTTATTACTTAATTTTACTTTATTATTTTATTTTTTAAAATATATTTTATTGATTTTTAACAGAGAGGAAGGGAGAGGCATAGAGAGTGAGAAACATCGATGAGCTGCCTCCTGCATACCCACTACTGGGGATGTGCCTGCAACCAAGGTACATGCCCTTGACCGGAATCGAACCTGGGACCCTTCAGTCCGCAGGCCGATGCTCTATCCACTGAGCCAAACCGGTTAGGGCTTATTACTTAATTTTAATAAAAACTGAAGGTTGTATAGCTAACAAGAGATAATTCTGGTTGACTTGAAACCTGTGATCCTAACCACTCTGTATATCCTTAGTTATTCAAAAGAAAAGATGTACTTGACATAATGTAAGAAAAAATAAGACAATCTCCAAATAGACCATAACATAAAATGTATAACTTTATTTTAAAAATTCTTTATACTGAATTGTTGTACTTTTAATAAAGGAATATATATCTCATTCAGGAAAATGCTACAAAAATTATGAATTCTCCCAAGGCATATATTTGATGACTACTACTCTTTAATTCTGTAGGAATGCCAACATCTTCTTTTTTTAATTTTGTTTTATTGCTTAAAATATTACAAAGAGTAGTACGTATGTCTCCTATTTTTTTTCCCCCCTTGACCTTCCCCCAGCCTCCCCTACCCTACAGGGACTTGTGTCCAATGGTTATGCTTATATGCATGCATACAAGTCCTTCAGTTGATCTTTTAACCCCCCAGCCCTCCCCGGCCTTCCTGATGCCAATAATCTTTTCTCCCTTATAAACACCTTATACATCTTATAAACATGTAGCTTTATCTTTGTAAAATAATGCTTTCCCCATTTTAACTAGCAATATCCAGGATAATATTTTTAAAGTCTGGTTATAACTGTTTTTATTTGATGAGGGCAATGTCAATTAACTGCTATTCTGTTTAAAAACTTAACTGAAAGCAGTTTTTATTAGAGTAAAAATACCAATCCATGCCAACGACCACACCATTATGTAAGATCAACAACTGTGACTTGCAATATGCCTGGTTTAAGGACAATGGATATGTCATGGAAAAAAAGTTCCCCCACGTAAAGCCTAAATTTAATAACAAGATAGATGAATGCTTTAAAAAAAATCTTTTAATATTTTTTTATTGATTTTAGAGAGGAAGGGAGAGGGAGACAGAAACATCAATGACAGAAAATCATTGATTAGCTGCTTCCTATATGCCCCCTACTGGGGACCGAGCCCCCAACCTAGGCATCTGTGCCGACCGGAATCAAACCGTGATTTCCTGGTTCATAGGTCGATGCTCAACCAGAGCCACGCTGGCCGGGCTAGATAAATGCTTTTTATCTGGAACTGAGTATCTTCAAACCCTCAAATTATTTACTTTGTTGCTGGCAAAAATGTGAAGAAAAGGAAACCCTTATACACTCTTGGTGTGACTGAAAATTGGTCTAATCACTATGGAAAACAATATGGAAGTTCTTCAAAAAAATTAAAAATAGATTTATCATAGATTCCAGTAATTCCACTTCTGGGTATACACCCAAAGGAAATAAAAACAGGATCTCCAAGAGATATATGCACTCCTGCGTTTATTGCATTATATTCACAACAACCAAAATGTGGAAACCTAAATGCCCATCAACAGATGAATGGATTAAAAAACATGTAGTATGGAAGAGTATTCAAGCATGGAAAAGAAGGATATCCTGCAATTTGTGACAACATGAATGGACCCTCAGCACACTGTGTTAAGTGAGATAAGTCAGAAAGAGAAAGACAAGTTCTGTCTATCTCCTTTGTGGAATCTTAAAAAAGTCAAATTTAGCCCTTGTTGGTGTGGCTCTCTGGTTATAGCAGCAGAATAAATAAACAACAGAATCAATAGTCAAACTTATAAAAAACAGAGAGTAAAATGGTGGTTGCCAGGAAATGGGGGGGTGGGAGAGTAAGACTGCTGCTGTTTAAGGATACAAAGTTGCAATGAGTAGTAAATAATCCACAGAGCTCTAATGCAGAGGTCACCAACCTTTCTGACTTCACAGACCACCAGTGGTCCGCGGACCACTGGTTGGCGACAGCTGCAATGCATAGAGCAGTGATTTTCAACCTGTGTGCCCAAAGAATTTTTAAAACATGCAAAACCTGACCTCTTTGCCCTTAGAGTGCCAAATAAAAAATGACAACAGCCAACACAGTAACTGTCTGGTGTAAATGAATCAAAATTATACCTATGGTTTTTGTCAGGTTGACAAAATAATAGAATATATTTTTGGTGTGCTGCAGTATTTTAGTAATTAGTTTATGTGTGCCGTGAGATAAAAACAGTTGAAAATTGCCGGCATAGAGTAATGAATATAGGTAAAAATATTGTACTACAATTAAGTAATGTGATAAATATCACTACAATGGCACTCTATATAATAAAAGGCTTATATGCAAATTGTCCCCTCGACTGGGAGTTTGACCAGGGATTGGGGCTGGCTGGCCAACAGACTGCAGCCCATTCCCCCATCAGGCCCTGCTAAGTGCCTGTGGCCCCTCCCATGCCCAGCCCCCCCCCATCAGGGGCAGGGCTGGCCAGCCAACTTCCCGAGGCCCCTCCCCTTGACCCACCCAGCCTCGATCAGCCCCCGCAACCCCGATTGGGAATGGGGCCAGCTGGACCCCACTGTGCATGAATTTGTGCACCGGGCCTCTAGTGGGACTATGATATACTAGAGCAGTGATGGTGAAACTTTTGAGCTCGGCGTGTCAGCATTTTGAAAAACCCTAACATAACTCTGGTGCCTGGCCCATATAGAAATTTTTTGATATTTGCAACCATAGTAAAACAAAGACTAAATTTTTGATATTATTTTATATATATTGAAATGCCATTTAACAAAGAAAAATCAACCAAAAAAATGAGTTCGCGTGTCACCTCTGACACGTGTGTCATAGGTTCGCCATCACTGTACTAGAGGCCCGGTGCACAAAATTTGTGCACAGGTAGGGTCCCTAGGCCTGGCCGGCCATCAGGGCTGATCAGGGCCTTCCTTCCTTTCCCCAACTGCCAGCCGGTGTCTTCCTTCCTCTGGCTGCCAGCCGGGGGCTTCCTTCGTTCGGCGCTGCCCCCTGGTGGTCAGCGCACATCATAGCGAGTGGTCAAACTCCCAGTCAGTTGAACTCCCGAGGGGACAATTTGCATATTAGCCTTTTATTATATAGGATTAGTATCACAGTAACACATTGTACACCTTAAACTTATACAATGTTTGTCAAATATACTCAATGAAAAAGTAAAAAGAAAAAAAGTAATCTACTTTCTAGCAATAATCCGTTAATGCTAATATATAAAAACCCTGGGTCCGTCACAACCAGAGGCTCGACCAACTGGAAGTCAGTCTTACAGTCAGCGCTGGGATGCCATGGCGACCCACCACTGACTGCTGAGGGGGCTGCGAAACAGGCCCGGAGAGAGGCCTGAGAAGCAAGGTCTGATCCGTAGCCTCTGTGGCAGCTGTTGATCAGCATTTGCCTCTCTCTTTCTCTCCAGCAGCCACGCCTCCATTTCTCTCCAGGCTGTTGATCAGCCCCGCCTTTCTTTTCCTTTTTTAAATATATTTTATTGATATTTTACAGAGAGGAAGGGAGAGGGATAGAGAGCTAGAAACTTTGATGAGAGAGAAACATCGATCAGCTGCCTCCCGCACACTCCCCACTGGGGATGTGCCCGCAACCAAGGTACATGCCCTTGACCGGAATCGAACCCGGGACCCCTCAGTCCGCAGACTGACGCTCTATCCACTGAGCCAAACTGGTCAGGGCCAGCCCCGCCTTTCTGATCAGGCCCTGTTGATAGGCCCAGAGACGCTGACTGGCACAGAAACCGACCAATCAGAACCAAATTGGCCATCAGAGGAGGGCAGTTGGGAGCAAGATCAGGCCGGCAGGGGAGGGCAGTTGGGGGTGATCAGGCCAGCAGGGGAGGGCAGATGGGGGTGAAATCAGACCGGCAGGGGAGGGCAGCTGGGGGTGACCATGCCGGCAGGGGAGGGTAGGTGGGGGCAATTGGGCTGGCAGGAGAGCAGTTAGGTGTTAATCAGGCCAGTAGAGGAGTGGTTAGCAGTGGTTCTCAACCTGTGGGTCGTGACCCCTTTGGCAGTCGAAAGACCCTTTCACAGGGGTCGCCTAAGACCATCCTGCATATCAGATATTTACATTACGATTCATAACAGTAGCAACATTACAGTTATGAAGTAGCAACGAAAGTAATTTTATGGTTGGGTCACAACATGAGGAACTGTATTTAAAGGGCCAGAAGGTTGAGAACCACTGGGTTAGGGGGTGATCAGGCTGGCAGGCAAAAGCGGTTAGGGGCAATCAGGCAGGCAAGTGGTTAGGACCCAGCAGTCCCGGATTGTGAGAGGGATTTCTGACTGCTGGTTTAGGCCCGATCCCACAGGGATCGGCAGTCAGACATCCCCCGAGGGGTCCCAGATTGGAGAGGGTACAGCCTGGGCGAGGGACACCCCCCCCCCCCCCCCAGTGCACGAATTTTGTGCACTGGGCCTCTAGTTTGTCCATAAAAGGTTAATTCACTGTAATTCAACCATATAAATAAACATGATTCAGTTTTTACCATATGGATAAAATAAACTGTAGTTATAATGCAATACCTATTTTTTAATAAATAATTCTTTTAGCCAAATAATTAGGATACCTAGAAAACTCAAATGTCTCTGAAAAGAACCACTGACCTAGGATAACTAGGACTAGGTAACCACCCATGTAGTATGGTTGTTGTGAATGGAGGTGTTAAAATCTGAAGCTTTAAAAGCAACACAAAAGTGTATAAGCAAACTTCCATAATCTAAACAGGGCTATGATGCATAGGAAAAACACTAATAGTATATACTCTGAGTGTATAACCTCTTTATGGAAATAATAAAAGCTAACTTAGCATGACCTCTGGTGTTATTTTAAAACATGCTATTTTTTTTACCTGACTCTAAGCCAAGCCTTTTCAAATCCTCTTGGTATGCTTTCAGGGCAGCTTCCTCCATTGCAGCAAACTCCTTTGATGCTTTTTCTTCTTCCTTTGCCTTATCCAGGCTTTTCTGTTTAATCTTTGTAAGACACATTTAAAAGTGAAAGCTAAATAAAAGACTGATATTTACATAGAAAAACTGGCAAAAAAACAAAACAAAAACAAAGTAAATTACCTCACTGATCCTCTTTGCAACATTTTCTTTATGATTCTTTCCTCTTTCATGAAATTCAACACTCTTGAAAATGAAAAAAGAAAAAAGAAAATACAAAGGAATACTACATAAACATCATAATGCTCACATTAAAGTAACAGTAAATTTGGGAATGGAGGATAACAAAATTAAAACTAAAATGACTGGTAAAAAAGATACAAAATAACTTGAATGCAAATTGGCCCTTTTTACCAAATGATACTATAGAACTTAACTACTATTTATTACTAGAGGCCTGGTGCACAAAATTCATCCACGGGAGGGGGTTCCCTCAGCCTGGCCTGCACCCTCTCGCAATCTGGGACCCCTTGGGCATCCCTCTCACAATCCAGAACTGCTGGTTCCTAACCGCTCGCCTGCTTGCCTGCCTGATCACCCCTAACCACTTGCCTGCCTGCCTGATCGCCCCTAACTGCCTCTGCCTCAGCCCCTGCGGCTTCATCTGCAAGGTCGTTTGGCTGTCTGGTCTAATTAGCATATTACGCTTTTATTATTATAGATTATGCCTTCTGACTAGATTTCCTTTGGTGCTTAAAATATAACCATGATTACCACATTAATGGAGGAAAATACAAGGTACACTTGATGACTAATCTAGTGACTATGATTGTAATGAGGACTCAAACAAGACATGAAGCCACAAGAGTGGGAAAAAAATCTTAACTCAAGAAACACCTCTCAACCTAGTGTCAAAACCAGTAAGTCTCTAGAATTTACACTGCTCTACTTGCCACATTAGATAAGAGACAATAACCAATGATCCTTAGAGCCATATTCCTCCATATTTCCATATTGGAAGAAAAGTAGACATTAAAAAATTTATCTTAATTATAAACAAATATTCTTATATAATGTGGTAATGGTACAAAATGTGAAACTCCTATGAAGAACAATTTGGAACTATCTATCAAAATTAAACTGCTACATTAGAGTTCCCTAAAAATTAATGTGGAGAGAGCTTCAGGATATACTGTTCAATTAGAAAGTAAAACAAAACGCCCTGGCTGGTTTGGCTCAGCGGATAGAGCTTCAGCCTGCATATAGAAGGGTCCTGAATTCGATTCCAATCAAGGGCTCATGCCTGGGTTAGGGACTCGACCACCAGTAGGGGGAGTGCAGGAGGCAGCCAATTGGTGATTCTCATCATGATGTTTCTATTTCTCTCTCCCTCTTTCTTCCTCTCTGAAATCAATAGAAATGTATTAAAAAAGCAACAACAACAAAACAACTATGGTACAATATAGTGTATATAGTATGTAACCTTTTATGTACGTTAGATTAAGAACCTATATACATATAGAAACAATAGAAGGCTAGACAAGAAAATGAAAAGTGGTAACCTATGAGGAATGTGGTAACTTGGATGAATGACAGAGGTGGGTGATTGAATGTTATCACATATTTAAAACAGCCAGAAATGCTCCCTATGGTTGTACACAATAAGAATTATCTGCTAAACTTTGCAAAATAAGTTTTGTAAATCAAATCTTACACAACGCATTACCTGAGCTATTCTAAAGTACTGTGAATTCCTCTTTAAAAATGTGACTTTTTAAGGCAAATGTTCATCCTTTTTCATATATTAATTTTTCTAAAATTTATTATACACCACAAAGACTATTACAGGTCCATTAAAAATAAATTAATTTTGTTTCTAAGTAAAGGTTAAAGTGGTGTGTATTAGCAATTCAAGGAGATGCAGAAAGACTATCCTAGAGAAATTATTTACTCTACATAACTCATGGAATTCATTGAACTGCTTTCCCTCCAAGGAAGACACTATCAGTGATTTGTGTAGGTTGGCCTAAGTCAGTGGTCGGCAAACTCATTAGTCAACAGAGCCAAATATCAACAGTACAACGATTGAAATTTCTTTTGAGAGCCAAATTTTTTAAACTTAAACTATACAGGTAGGTACATTGTTATGAACTTAATTAGGGTACTCCTAAGGTTTAGGAAGAGCCACACTCAAGGGGCCAAAGAGCCGCATGTGGCTCGAGAGCTGCAGTTTGCCAACCACGGGCCTAAGTCAAACAAGACAGTCAAGAACTTTAGCAACTATTAAAAAAGACCAAAAACAAAACAAAACCCAAAAGAAAAACCCAAACTCCTTGTAGACACATCGATGTTTCTGTCTCTTGCAGACAATCCTGTACAATAAAAGCCTAATATTCAAACTGTCCCCTCGACCGGGAGTTCGACTAGGGGGCAGGGCTGGCTGCCCAATCACAGGAAGGGAGGCCCCGGCTGGCGGTGCTGGCGGTCACAGGCAGCAGGAGGAAGGGAGGTCCCGGCCAGCAGCGCAGCTGCTAGGACCCTACCCATGCACGAATTTCATGCACTGGGCCTCTAGTAGTAAATAAATGTCTACTAAACAAATACAACGTCGATGTGGATTTTCTGTTTGCTTGTTTTCTAACTTATTCGGACGCTGGGAATCCTGTAATAGAAGGAGACCGGCTGTTGACTTCTTGCATATGGGACCTGGAAGGTGGTTTGGGGCACCTTCAGGAGGATGTGGCAGGTGTAGCTGTGGGCTTTCTCTCCGAGGGTCCGGCCGTGCAGGTTTGGGACACCAGTCGGCACACCGAGAGGTGGGACTAGTGAGTGCATTACAGCCCCAGCGTTTTCAGCTGGGGGCAGGGGGTTCGGGGGGAGGGACTCTAATTAACACTGATACTTATTTCTGGGATGCCCGCTTGTGTTATTTCTGCATTTAGCACAGAGCGAGTGCCATGTTCCAGGTGTTGCACTGAGTTAGA